GAGCCAGAATAGTTTACTAAAAAGGGCCTGAATTGTGCTAAATTGACAACAGAAGGACCCTTATCCAGTGTAATACACGTGGCAGTTACAGAGCAGTTTTAATTTCGTCGGCCGGCATTGAGGTGAAGTGTCTATCAGTTAGCTTGATCATGACGTCCCCTCTATGCAAACAAACCTCTACTTTTATGAATTACCATAATTACCCTTTCCATCCTCTGATATTTTTCACCAAATCTAAAATTAAATATTTAACACATGAATACCTACACTTTGAAACATATATAATTTTTTTTTCTGAAGAAATTAGAAAATTATTTATATTTCTAGAAGCAATATATATAGTTTTCCTTGGGCATAAGGTAAGAGGACATAATTGTCCATAAAGAAAAATGAGAAAGTGCTTTTCCTTGTCCAATGGAATTAAAATATCTACAACTCCCCACAGTCCCTTACTTAACTATTCTTCTCCATTTCTCTTTTTTCTTCATTCATTCAATACACACACAAAAACAAAGTGTTTTATCTCTTTATCTTTTCTCACACTATTTATCTTCTTCTTCTTCTTCTTCATCCATACCTCTTTGTCGCCTCTAAATTATCTCAATTCTCTTTCTCCAACAAAAAATATCATTTTCCTTTTTCTTATTTGTTTTCTGATAATAATTTATCAGTAAACTTGAAAGGCTTACGATCGCTGATCCAGGTAGTACCTAACGCTATTATTCTTCTTCAATTGGATCGATCAGAGGATTAAACTATTTAATTAATCAGTAAAAAAAGTTGAATTGTTATTTTTTTTTAATTGTTGATCACTGTGGAGAAGATGAAGGTTTGATTGTTAAGTTGAAATTTTAAGCAGAACTAGTGTAAAAATTGAATCTATTTTGTGTTTACGGTAATATTATGACTGTTTAGACTTAAGTAGTGATCACCATGGAGTTGTTGACTTTTGAATTATGATCAGAACTGAGTTTTGATTGGTGAATTAGAGCAAATATGTTGCTTTAGTACTTTGAAATCCTTTTTTTTTTGTTGGATTCACTTGTAGTTTGTGGAATTATTTGTTGTCGTTAATGGAATGGATAAGTGAGACCCCTAATTGTTTTTAAAGTCAAATTCTTATAGAATTGAAGGAACATAGATAGTGACGGAGTTAGGATTTTTATGGAGGGTTCAAAAATATATAGAGGTAAACCAAGGATTCAGCATCTACATATATGCATATAATTTTCTATATATAGTGTAATTTTTCGATTGGATGTAGAGAATTCATACAAGTGGCATTTATTAGTTTAGGACTGGAATCTATATAAGTAATTTGTGATTGAGAGTAGATTTTTGTGTATGATCCTTACTTTTAAGGTAATTGTTGTCTGTGTAGATTCCTGAGTAGGCAGAATGAGCTCTCTGCAAGGGCCTGTTATTTGTCCTGTTGTTCGTGGAAAGCAAACAAGTCAGTTTGCTGTTCCTGTCAATTCTTCTGTAGTGAAGGCGAAGATTTTGAAGAGTAGGTTCTGGGGGCTTAATGGGATCTCTAGCTTCCGGGTTAATGTGGCTCGTCAACCACGATCACGAGTAAGCAAGGTGATACAATGCACTTTTAGTTCATCATCAGACGGAAATGGTAGCATGGCAGAGAATTCCAATGAAAGCAACGCAGATTATGTGAACTCTAGCGTGGTCGAAGCTGGTATGCTAACTTTGTTCTCAAGTGCTATATTACTTATTGTCATACTCTGATTCTTATTGAGAAAAAACAATTGATAATGCTGGGATTCATTGTTCCAAATAATAATTTCACTGTTGTCGTGCGGGGATTCATTGTGCGAATTATAGTGACTGAAGTATAACGATCTAATTTAGTATTGAGATGATTCTTCTACAGCGTGATGACATTCCCATAAATTTCCCAACTTTTCTGCGTATTTCACGTGTCAAGTTTTGAAGTTAGGTTGCATGCCTCACTGTTGGCGGTCTTTTGCTTCACGTTAGTTGAAAGGCAATGTTATCTTTAAAAACCGAGATTGATGTTAACCAACTTTCCCCCAAATAAATGAATAAAAAGGCAATAACTTATCTATGTGGGGTTGAATTTCCTATTCTTCTTGTGTAGTTGAAGTGCGAAGTGGGCCAGATGGTTTCATGATCAAAATGAGAGATGGAAGGCATTTGAAATGTGTGCATAATAATCCACAAGGAGGTCATCTACCGGATTATGCTCCACATCCTGCGATTGTATTAAGAATGGAAGATGGGACAGGGCTTCTTCTCCCTATTATTGTTTGTACGTAGATATTTCGTTCATTTGTTTAATGACTGGACTGTCTCTTAGTGCATAAATCAATTAAGGCCATCTCATTTCTCTGTCTTATGTCTGTTTTATATGACAGTGGAGATGCCAAGTGCGCTGCTCATGGCAGCTGTGCGCAATGTCCAAATTGTAAGTTTTCCTATCTAGGTGCTGGTAAAGCCATCCTGCCAAATTTCTTGCAGCATTTTTCTATTTCCGTTACTGAAAAAGACACATGTTGGCTTTGTTTCAGGCCAGACCAACAATGTATCAAGTTGTGAATGACATGGTTGAGAAGATGGGTTACACGGTAAGCTTGTTATTTGTGCTCTATCAGTAGTTGTGTTATCTTTTATGCTTGATCTGACAGTTCCCCTGTTTGAAGGTTAAACTTGTTCGAGTTACAAAGAGGGTGCATGAGGCTTATTATGCTCAGTTATATCTAACAAAGGTGTGTAAAATGCTGTTACTATGCTGACTGACCATGTCCTCACGTTTCAGTACATCTTTAGGCTAGGGGTATGCAACTTAAGCACCTCTAATATGGTTGTAATATGGTTGTCCTTACAGTCCGACAATGATGCTGAGAGTATTAGCTTTGATCTTCGTCCGTCTGATGCAATCAACATTGCTGTGAGAAGCAAGGTAAAAAACTAATCTCCCCAGCTTCTGTTTTGTACATGAGCTAACTGATACCTTATTATTGTGGAGTTAACTACATATGCAATGTATATCTTACTTTATATCCACCCTAAACTGAGTTATACAAGTACTATTGAATTCATGATCCGTTCCATAATGATCTGTTCATGATTGAGGTCATGATCCCTCCATCCGCGGATGGAGCGCAATATACAATTTGTGTACAATGCCATCCATATTTTCCTCAATAGTCCCCATCGCTATAGTCCTATTTCCTCACTTTAATTCAACTTTATGGTGCTCTTGCACCAAATGAGTGCTAACATAACAAACCTTCTGCTGTTTAATTATTCCAGGTGCCAATACAAGTCAACAAGTACTTGGCTTATAGTGATGGTATGAGAATTGTTGAATCTCCGAAGCCAATAGTGCACACTACTGGTTCTGATGGTCTCCTGTTCACCGAGCTTGACAGGTAAACCTCCATTAGGTATATATTTTGATAAAAAATAACAATAGCATTATTTTCTGTTTGGGAGATAAATATTGTAAGTAGTTTGAAATTATAGCTGAAACTCTTCATGTTTGCCAAACGATGTCTGACAATGCCTTATTGTGTTGTGACTAATATAATCCAACTTGTATTGTGGGTCAGGCCTAATGGCAAGCCATGCATTGAAACAAAGGAGTTTATTCTTGTGCGAAATATGCTGATTGCGGCGGTTGAAGAACGATATAGAGATGCAGGTGCGCTTGTTAACATGTCCAGATTTTGTGTGGAATGGCGTTTCTGCTATTCATTAACTGTGTCAAGTCAAAACTACAAAATCAAATTGAAACGGAGGGAGATTCTTTTTCTTCATTATTTTGCCAGTTCACAACCCTGGTTAGCTGCTTTTGCTCACTTTTGACATTGGTAATTACAGCTCTATGGAGGGACAAGCTTACTCAATTGCGATCCAAGAGGAACTGGATATAGAAGGTATATATATTGTCCAATCTTTTTCCTCAATGCTGTGAACTTTCATCAAAACTACTGGTAGTATTATCGTATGACTATACGTGAAATGTGATTTCGTAGGTGTGGTTAGAGTTGTTTGAGCAAAGAGACTACTATGTATATAGAAGCCATTCATCAGAGCCAATGTGGTCAGCATCTTCAAAGATCAATTGTAGTTCTCCCCTTACTATGTTATGTAAAAAAATAATTTGTGAATATCTGTATATATGGAACTGTAAATGTAAGACGGACCGGTAAACTTTATGGTTTTCGGACATGCAAGTGTTTTTTTCCAGTTTCCACGTTGATCTTACAGTAAGTGTGCCGTCCATATTGTTTCGTTTGCATATTAAGTAGTAATTTGAAGATCTAAACGTAGAAAAGTGGTCAGTCAGCGCTATTTCTGAATATACTATTACTACCCTTCTATTAATTTGTACACATCTTAAGTTCATTAGAAGGGTAGTGTTTTCTACCTGAAGAAACTTTTTTATTCTCAGGATTTGAACTCAAAATGTTGAACTTCCGTTCACTTCATGTTGTATTGACCGTGACGTTTCTGAATACAGAGTAGAAGATGCTAAATATACCAAAGAATCATTCTAATAATAGACAAAATAAAATGTCATTTCAGTTGAAGCCTCTTTTTGGGTATATCCTACTGCAACTACAATTTGTTTTTTCATCAAGGATAAAGTCTAAGAGAGGAACTTGCACGTAATCAATCCTAGAAAAATGTAGTGATGTTCGATACGAAGAAAAATATTTCATCCATCCATTGGGGAAGGGAAAGTAAAATATATTGGAGGGTGAAGAGGATACAATACTTGTGAAATTTGTTTTATTATTGTTATTAGGAAAGTCATTTCTCTTTAAAACAAGAAATTTATTTTACTAGAGTGAATATTTTCTAATTTTTTTTTTGTAAAAATTGGATTTTACAAATAAATAAATAGAAAAGGGACAACGGCATATTCCCGCCAGTAAAAGCACAAAACCAACCGCTATCAAAAAGCTTAACTGCTTCACGTAACCCCCAATTCTCTTCATATCCAAACTCCAAATATTGTTTGAAGTAAAGTAATTAAATACTCAATATTTTTGTTGCAGGTCAAAAAAAAGATCACTCATTTTATCTGTTAAGCAGACATTATTATAAACTTCATTTTTCAACCAGTCGTACGAAAATGTCAGGTAATTTTGTACTCCATTTATGATATTTTCTCTCTACTATATTCTTCAAATCAAATCAATATATTCACTATTACATGTGAATTGAAGTAAGAAAAAAAACAACGATTTCATGTGAAAATTAGCCTACACCAATGATTTAGGATTGAGACTTAGAAATCAACAACATAATCAATGTATTCTACAAGAGGAGTCTGGTGAGGGTGTTTGTGTACGCAATTTTACCTAGCCGAGCCGAACTCTGTAGGATTTTGTGGATGATAGTTTAATACTCATCATATTTTACTCATGGATAGTCAGATTTTGCCTTTGTTGGTCATGAAGTTATGTTTTGCTTTTATGGTTAAGTTATTGACTCCACTCTGTTATCCTTTTCAAGTGACTGTTTAGTACTCGTATGGTTAAGTATGAATTTGCAAATTTTCACAGGTGGTGAAGGATCTTTATTTGATCATGGAAACTGTGAAGATCAATTACATTCTACGATGATCAGGTCACAAAATGATATGGAGTTTGTAAACGATTTTCGACAAATCCTGATCCTGGAAAATCTGCTTCCTCCTATGCATGATGATAATCTCAAATTACTAAGGTGTCCTGTGTCTAATTTTTAACCTAAATCATCTTATTAGGTATCTCTAATTTACATCTGCTTGAAATGTAGGATGTAGAAAATTAGATTTCATAACTGGTGATTTTAAACATGTCATTTCATCATTTTGTCTCCAAAATATAAACCTTTACCTTTCATCAACTGTAACGTGATACAAGGCAGTTACCGGAAATTGCTTTTCTAACTCCATAGTTGTTTCCTAAGCACCACGCGTTCATGTTCTAGACTTTATCTCAACTCATGTGATGACAGAAGATGATGATCTTGAACTTTGAGTTGTACAATTTCAGATTTCTTAAAGCTAGAAAGTCTGATATAGACAAGGCAAAGCTCATGTGGACAAATATGCTTCAATGGAGAAGAGATTTTGGAACTGACAGTATTATCAAGGTAGACTTACTTTTTTCAAACACTAGTGTGTAATACCATATTTCTGAAGGTCGACTAAGGCTTATTAGACATGCTCTAATCTTCCTATGCACATATGGACGTTTTCTTCTGAAATTATCCGGCCACATTTTGGTTTAAATTTCACAGTTTCTTGATCATACACAATATTTTGCTCAGGATTTCAACTTCCATGAAAGAGATGAAGTTCTACAAAACTACCCTCAGGGTTATCATGGCACAGATAAGGAAGGAAGACCAGTTTATATTGAAAGATTGGGACTAATGAACGTTGACAAACTTTTGGAAGTAACTACTCTGGATCGTTATGTTAAATATCATGTCCAAGAATTCGAGAAGTCTATTGCCTTCCGGTTTCTTGCTTGCTCTGTAGCTGCAAAAAGACATATTGATAGAGGTGTTACCATCTTGGATGTTGAAGGAGTGGTATAGTAGTCTTTTCTGGTGGATTATTAACCTCTTATTGTTCAGTTTTCAGTTTTCATAATGTTCGTTTTTCTGTATTGTAGAGTTTGAGGAACTTCACGAAACCTGTACGAGAAGTCATTTTGCAGCTGCAGAAGATTGATAATGACTATTATCCTGAAGTAATTTGATATACCTCTTATCAGCTTAGCTATAACACATGACTTTTACTGATACCTAACATCTAATGTTGGCAAAATAATTTTGCAGACACTTGGTGAAATGTTTGTTATAAACGCTGGACCAGGATTTAGGCTACTCTGGCATATACTCAAGCCTTTTCTAGACCCTGAAACGACGTCTAAGATTCATGTATGGCACCATGTTTTCTTCCTATGATCAAGTTTTTCTCATGTTTCTTTTATATTATGTTATGAAGAAAGGGTTTCATTTATATCCCAAATGAGGATTGATGAACATGAGTCCAATAGAACAATTTATAGGTTGCTCATCAAGAACTATTGATTTTTGAAATTTCTAGATTCTTGGCAACAATTATCAAGGCAAACTGCTTGAAATCATTGATGAATGGTAATTGTCTCTAACTTTGTTTTTTCAATCCTAGATGTTATACGAGTTCTTAACAATTTAACATATCGTGAAAACTTTTTGATTTTCAGTGAGCTGCCAGATTTTCTAGGTGGTAGGTGTACATGTGAAAATAATGGTGGTTGTTTAAGGTCAGATAAAGGGCCATGGAGAACCCTCAAGGAGATATCAATGGTGAATATGGATTTTATGTTACGTTTCTAGTAGTATGTTAACAACCATTGCTACTTGCTAGCAGTGGTTGCTTATCTTCACCATCTCATTGTATCTCAACTGATTCTGACCTTAGGAAGCAGAGTGTTTAGAGAAGACAATGGCAACACTGAACGCTACAAGGCAACTAAAACCAGCCACAGATTGTATGTATATTCCATCTTCTTTTTCTTATTTTGAAAAATTACTCTCTCTGTCTATTTTTGAAAATATGTATGTCACATAGCTCATACTTTGTGATCTATCTACGAATTGGCTATAGACTATCCTTTATCTTGATTGATGTCTCCATGAATGACTACATCTTTATATGTTTTGGCCATGACCTTCCTGCTACTCTATATAGTCCTATTGTGGATACCATTGTGTTCTTGTATGAGAATAAAAGATCTTTGATGTTTTGGAAACTTTTTGAAACATCATACCAAGCTTATGAATAATAGATCGGCCAATGATGAAAAGAATTAACGGAATCGAGGTAATTATGTTCCAAAAGCATCAGAAAAAGCTAATAATATTATTGTTCTTTAACATATGAAAGAATATCAATCACTCTATACAGGAGTGGTAACGACTTATCTGTTTTAGTCAGCAATGCTGCTTCTCGTCACACCCTCATGTTCCTTGTTTTGAAGGAATTTGACGAGGTTTTCTAGTGCAACGTCAGAGTTGTTGCTCTTCATCAGCTCTCCTGCTACTTCAGCTGGTGTTACCTTAACTCTCTGGAACAGATCTTCAATTTTCTCTAACAGTCTATGCTCCTCTATCTTTAGGTAATTAGATGCTAGTACTCTGAAACCACTGAAAGTACAGTATGACATCTCAATGTGCACGTCCATACGTCCAGGTCTCAACAATGCTGGATCAAGTCTGTCCTTGTGATTCGTTGTGAACACTATGATTCGCTCATCTCCACAACTCGACCACAAGCCATCAATAAAGTTCAACAGCCCAGAAAGTGTAATCTGCATTTGTAGAATTTTTTATCAAAATACAAGTCAAAAGTATAATCCTAGCAGTTAATATTCATGCTAGTGCTTGAAGATCTATTATATTTGTTTCACTAGTCATCAATGTAATCACATGCTTCAAATGCAAACTACATTGTAAAAGATCACAATTGATGTTGTACATGAGTATTTGTACTTTTCTCAATAATCGTCGAACACATAAAAGAGAGTTTTTTTTTTCTTCTTTGTTGAATAACAGGAATGAAGCCGTCTTTTCTCAGGAGAAGTGAGAAGTTCTTTTATGTTGTGCACTGAAAAATGTGTCAAAGAAATGCATTACGATACCTTGTCATCTTCAGTTGTGTCATTATCATTTTCTCTATTCTGCAGCCCCACATTGCAATCAATGTCTTCTATCACAAGTATAGAGCGGTTTGATGAACCGATCAACAACCTTCTCAAATCCGAATTGCATTGCACCTCTCTCAAGTCCAAGTCATAAACATCAAACTTAAGGTAATTAGCCATAGCTGCAACTAAGCTCGATTTTCCTGTACCAGGCGGTCCATATAACAAGTACCCCCGTTTCCAAGCTTTTCCAACTCTCCTATAGTAATCTTTCCTACTTACAAACATGTCAAGATCCTCGATCAACTCCTTCTTCATTTCTGGTTCCATAGCCATTGTATCAAATGTTGCAGGATGGTTTAACACGACAGAACTCCAATAATCAGTCCCATTATAATCCACCGTGTGTAGCCTTACTACCCTTTTCTCCTCCTTAAACTCTTTGGCTCTCTTCAAAATATACGGTAAATAAAATTTTAAGGCCATCTCCTTTTGCTTCTTGTGAAAACTTAGCTCAAAATATCGAAGCTCTGTCTTCGGGTTGGTGCTCTTTTCACTCTGTTTGATTCCCCTAGACTTCATGATCCAGGTGAATTTGACATTTTCATAATAATCGGTTACTTCTTGGTACCTATTCACATAAACAGCTTCAAAAAATTTTAAGATAAGCCTTTAGAAATTGGACATACACATTATCGCAAATTGTGAAATCCAAATTTTGACTTCGTTTCTAACTTAAACCAAAAATTGTTCAAAATATAATTCAATCGGCGCTCTACTGTTTACCTCCAACTTACCTATCAACAGTGACAGCGAGCTCTTCGTCTTCATCAGGCTTGTTAACTTTGATCCTTTGAGTCCAAGCATTAACCTTCGTACCCAAATAAACATTGACGGTGTCGAACATTTGGTTCAAAGTGAGACCTTCAGATTCTTCAATGACTACAATCAGCTGCGAGGAAAGGCGGTTCGATAATTTTTGAAATCGTGAAGAAAAAAAGAGCTGGAGTTGTTCCGGTACAAGGTCGCTAGCTATTGATCGGAAAAGAATTACTGAAGCGGTGAGAGAAGTCGCCGCCGTTAAAATTGTTTTAGAAGACGGCATCGTTTCGAAAAACTCCATTTTTGTTAACATTTTGATGTTTGGGAAATTGCATGATTTTGATCCTTCTTGGCAGGCAAGAAATCTCTAGAAAATTTGGTTCATACATGTCCAGAAAACTCTCGGGCCGTATGATGTAAAATTTTAGGCCCAAAGAATGAATGTAAAAATTAAGTAAATTTCATAGTGTTGAGAACTGATTATACCTTATTTTTATTCTTTTTCAAATTAGATATCGAAACATTCATGCGGATACATACTCCATGCATGTATCGGAGATGGGATTATTGTAATTTTTTAAAATATTAGAAAATTTTAAAAATTATAATAAAATAAAATATGTATTTAGGTAATTTTTCAAATTTTTTTTAGCAATTTGATAAAAGTCTTCCATTATACACATATAGACTCCTTAATTAATCATACATCTAAGAGTCATTTGATAGAGTGTGTATAATAATAGTAATACTAAATAGGGTGTATTAATAATATTAAATCGATTATCATGAGATTATTTCTTTTTGAAGAATTTGAGATTTCTCGAACACATGTCACCTCATTATTTCAAAATAGAAGCTGAAATCAAATGTCCAAATGTATGCTAAGATAAAAATATAGAGTCCAAACGTTCGTTTCTACTTCAGATTAGGGGTGTACATGACCGGGTTGGTTCGGGTTTTTCAAATATCAAACTAAATCATTTGTGTCGGATTTTTAAATCTATAAACCAAACCAAACCAATAAAACTCGGGTTTTTCAACCTCGTTTTTTTTTTTGGATTTTCGGATTTTCCGGTAAAGTATTCATACAAACATATAATTTACTTGTACTTCAAAAATTTCTTTTAGTCTTACCCAAATATAACTATCTAAGGTGTTTCTTAAGAAAATAACACAAAATATGATAATGACATTAAAATATCCAACAAAAAAAATAATAATAATGAAATCGCGTAAAACAAATATTGCAAATTAACAAGTCATAATGAAAATGATCATAATTTAAAAGTACTAAATCATGCTAAAATAAGTTTAATAAGTATTAGTTACATGACTAAATATTAAAGGAAATTAAAATTAGATTATGTATTTGGATTGTCTAAATCAATGTAAAATCAAAGAACAAATATTCAATATTATTGTCATTCTTAGTGTTGAATTGATTTTCTTTTTGCATTAGTATTAATTTGATTTTGATTTAAGCTTTATTATAATTACCAACATCTATGAACTATAATCTTTATTGAACCATTCAAAATTCTAAGTTTCAATTTTGAAATAATATATTAAAAGATAAAAGCTATGAAAAAGTATAAGAAATATTTAAAAATTATATCAAAGTAAATATTTTTATGTATAAAATAAAATTTTAAAATTATATATATAATGTCGGGTTGGTTTGGTCTCGGGTTGGTTTTTTTTAGTTAAAACCAAACCAACCCAAAAATAGTCAGATTTTTTTATCCAATATCAAACCAAGTCAAACCAATCACTAGTCAGATTTTTTTTCTCGATTTGCGATTTGATTCGATTTTCGGTTCGATTTTATAACCCCTACTTCAGATAATTGAGTCAACTGACCATCAAAGTACCTATTAATAGTAAATGAACTTATGTGCCTCTAAAAATCTACTATGTAGGCAAGATATGAAATAACCTATTGCGTGGACGATAAATAGAAGAAGAAAATACAGAAAGGAGAAGAACTGCCTTTTAATTTTACCAATTTTGCTAACGTACTTCGGTTGTAGCAAGTTTCCCTAAAATGCCCAGCAACACGTTAAAATGCAAAATTAAATTACTGTTTTATCCATACACTAAATTATAATATTATAAATCATTCAATTAATTATTAAATAATAAATCATAGTATATTACAAGTAGAAAGACCTTAAATGAAACGTTCATAATAAATCATAATATCATATTTTTACTTAGTCTCTTCCACGTCGTGTTTTTCATCCAAAAATTTCAATTTATCTTATTAACCTTTCCTTCATCTTCATAATTTATAATTAAAATGATCTTTAATGTGTATTAATTTTTGAATAATTATACTACTAATTAATTTTTGTGCCGCCTCATTCTTTATTTTTTTTTTGTAATGTGTATTAATCTCTGAAAAATTACAGTACTAATTAATTTTTGTGTCTCTTCATATTCCCTTTTTTTTTTTTCCCCTCTCATGCTTTACATTAAATTAGAATTAATGGTTGTATCAAATTAAAAAAAACAATCTATACTCATTATTATGGTGTAATACAATTGCTTTACCACCTTTATTTTTGGGCAAAAACATTCTTACCAAGTTCATGTCAAGGGTTGTACTTTTTAGACGATTATTTATTGCTTTTAAGTATAGCTTAGTGAATCCACTTAGTTGAGGTGTTTTATATCCCGACAAGGTATATGACAGTTCTGACAGCGTGGGCGAGACGTTATATCATCACATAGCTCATAGTGATGGTTGCCAGTTAGAAAATCTTCCAAATAAAAGTAAAGAGTAAATTATTGTATTTTTATATACATCCTTGAGTTAGTATCTGTTTAGTATGAAGCTTTAAACATTTTATCTTTTGTTATTGCTTTTGTATCGAGTTGAGTTGAGGTGAGTA